TTTTTAAAACTTCAATTTGCTTGGATCCACAACTGGATAGCACCTAACAACAACATAGGCTTTCTGTAGATGCTCTTATCAGGCTGAGATCATTCCCTTCTATGTCTAATGTGGTAAGAGTTTTTATCAACACTGGATATTGGGTTTAGTAAAATGCTTTTTTCTGTGTCTTATTTGTAAATTTTATAAACACCATTTATATTGTATGACACCATTATGTGAAAATTACATAGCTGTTTATTAATATTGTAAATGACAACTGTTGAAATTCATTTTAAACCAAACATATTCTGGGTATAAGCTATACTTTGTGATAATGAATATTCCTTTCATATATTATTGGAGTTACTAAAATTTTACTTAGAATTTCTGCATCTATATTCATGAGGGATATTGGTCTGTAGTGTTCTTGTAATATCTTTATCTGGTTTGGGTAGCACAGCAATGCTGGCTTAATTATTAGATGGGTTGAGAGGTAGTCCCTCTTCTTTAATTGTCTGGAGGAGTTTGCATAGAATTGCTATTATTTGTTCCTTAAATATTTAGGAAAAGTCATGTTAGCCTGGAGTATTCTGTTGGAATATTTCTAACTATAAATTTAATTGATTTAATAGCTATAGGGCTGTATCTATTGTGTGTTGTGCTACTGGTGGGTGAAGGAGTCTATAAATAACAAGGTCAAGTTGGATGACAGTGTGGTTTAAGTCTTCCTTCTATATCATTACTGAATTTCTATTTACAGCTTCTATAAATTATTAAGGGGATGGTATTGAAATTTCTAGCCATATTTGTGAATTTATTTATTTCTCCCAGCAGTTCTATCAGGTTTTGCATCATTTGCTTTGAAGCTCTGTTATTGGGGGTGGGGAGGTTAGGGGGACTGTGTATATATATCCACAGATACATACACATATATATTCAGTTTTATATATACAAGGAGCTCTGGTAGCATAGTGATTACAAGTAGGGCTGCTAACCTCAAGGTCAGTAGTTCAAAACTACCAGCTCTTCCATAGGAGAAAGATGAAGCTTTCTGCTGCTATAAAGATTTACAGCTTCAGAAACCCTATGCAGGGTCGCTGCTAGTCAGAATGACTCCATGACACACCACCTTCATATATACTAACACACAAATATATACAGTTATATGTATATAGAGAGTTCATTTTAATAATCAGAATTCAATAATTCTTACAAATAAGTTAGTGCTCTTTTGGAATCCTGATGTGGCACTGTAGGATAAGCACTGGACTGCTAACCAAAATGTTGGTGGTTCAAATCAACCAGCCATTCCTTAGAAACTCTATGCACTGTCGCTGTGAGTTAGAATCTACTGGACAGCACTTAACTACATTGTTCTTGTGCATTCTTTTCTCTCTGTCACACACACATACTCTACAAGAAATCAAGCCATTAAAGAACAAAAGCAACAGAAGCAACATCCAGAAAACATATCCTATGGTTCTTGGAATTATCAGATTTGTAATGTAAAACTCCTGGTGTGGCACTGTAGGATAAGCACTGAACTGTTAACTGAAAGGTGGTGCTTCAAACCTATCAGCCATTCCTTGGAAACCCTACACAAGGTCAGAAATCATGTATAAGATTGCTGTGAGTTGGAATCAACTCTACAACACTTGACAACCACAACATTGCCCTGTACAGGGTTGCTGTGACTCCACTTAACAAAAACAACAAATACAGGTCATTATGACTTGGAACTGACTTGATGGCATTTGACAATAACGTAGCCCAAACAAATTGACACTCAAAATTGACTATTACAATCTCCTAAAATGTGTCTTATCTGATTTGTCACTTTAGTTTATAATTTTTAAGTGTTAAAATCTTTTCCAGATATTTCTTTTCAGTAAAGCCTGTTCACTTCTTGTAATGTCTTATACTTTAACCATACTTCTTATTCTGGTTTTGTATTTCTTTAAATATATGACATTTGTTAGTTTTGCATTGTGTTATTGTTTTTGTTAGGTCCTGTTGAATCAGTTCTGACGTATAGTAACCTTGCATAGGGTTTCCAAGCAGCAGCTGGTAGGCTTGAACTACCAACCTTATAGTTCACAGTCCAGAACTGATTCTACAGTGCCACACCAGGCCCATCAAGTCAGTTCTGACTCATAGTGACCTCGTATAGGGTTTACAAGGAGCAGCTGATGGGTTTGAATTGCTGACCTTCAGGTTTGCAGTCTAGTCCTTATCCTACAGCACCACACCAGGAGTCTGCATAGGGCTTTGCTGTTATTTTTGAGTGCCATCGAGTTGGTTCCTTCTGATAGTAACCTTCTATGGGATTTCTGCGCAGCAGCTGGGGGGTTTGAACTGCTAACCTGTGGATAGTATCTTCAACGTCTAGCAAAGTATTCCAACCTGTCCTTTCTGATAGCCTGCCTTACAAATTCCAAACTTGCATTACCACCTCCCACAATTGCATACATTAAATCTCTTAATATATATTTCCAACTAGCTTTCTTTGTCTGATTGAACCCTGACTGACAGTGATAATTAGTGAAAAGATCTGAAGAAATTACCTTAAAGTAATAACAAATATAAAAATATGAAAGGAAGGTTATAAGATACAAAGAATAGGAAATGAACACCAAACATATCTTTTATCGTACTAAGAAAAAAACCAAACAAACAATAAAGCCAGTGGCAGTGCTGGTTATGAGCCATGGAGCCGGTTATGACTCACAGTGACCCTGTATAGGGTTTCCATGGCTGTAGATCTGTATAAGAGCTTAAAGCCTCATTTTTCTCCAAGGAGTGGATAA